GCCCTCAAGGCTGTTTGTTCGACTCCACACGATTTGCTTTCAATAATAATAGCCTGCAGGGATATACATATATTGTTCTTGAAAGGTAATAATTAGTTTTGCATAGTCACATACCACATACCGTACAAGGGTGCCTCATTCATGAAAAAAAGATTTTTAAGAAATGAAAGTGGGAACCTAATGAATTCTTTTCCCCCCTTCTAATGTTGCTTTTGAAGAAAACATTTAGCTTGAGTGCAAATGCCTATTCAGAGCTTGAAAAAATGTTTAAAATGTCATTAATTTTTTATTGAACACTTCCTTATGCTTTAAATTACATCTGGCAAATCTATAATGCATTAGATGGAGAACATTTTATGCATGGCTATACAAGAGATGAAAGAATATTTGTTAGATGTAGGAGGTGGTACAGAGGTAGTCGTGGAGACCTATTTTTCTTCTTCATTTAAGCATTCACCCTGTGAAGGAACACAGAAAACTGCACCCACAACATACTCCTCAAAGTGGGAATTACAATATAATTCCCACTAGAAGAACCCAGATGTTTCAGCCATCTTTCTGAAATTCTCTTTGTAGCCTGAAAATCCATCAGTTGTTTATGCTAAGGAGGAACTTTTAAATTCATCTCAGGTTTCACTGTAGGTGACATTTGGTGGAACTTCAGTCTGCAAGTGTGTCCTCTGCATGGGACATTTTTTCCACTATTTGTGGAGACTCACCATCTAGTGCCAAAGAGCTTATTACTTCCACTTCACTTTTCCTCGGACATGGCACTAGAATGGCTGTAAAAACGAAATGGAAAGCTTCTGCTTTGAAGCAAACCAGAGTTCCTTGTTACGTCCAATCCTGGTTACTTTAACTTATGCCTAGTTCAAAAGTAGGAGCAAAAGTAATTGCCTTGTCATTTTTTACCTCTGGCCATACCCTTCTCTGGCATGTGTCCATCAATCAGTTATCCATGAGGAAATGTAGACTTTGGATGGAAAAATGTTTCTGCACCTGGTTTAAAATGCTCACAGTTCCCCTGAGCTTGGACATAACAAGAAACTTACTCCAACATTGCACCTCAGGAAACTTTCTATGGCATTAGTGAGAGGCAGAGGAAGTGAATGTGGCTTTCTATAACAATCCAAGGTAGCGTACTGTTGCTTCCTATTGGTTTTATGTACAAAGACTTTCCATGCCTTTATATTCTGATTTTCTCTGCCACCTACACAACTTTTGACCCAAGTGGCATAGAGCTGGAGAGATTGGAAAAGCTTCACCATCTCATCAGTTTGTAGTCACAAGCACAGGAGTAGGTACAGCATAAAAGCCGGCAACTTGAACCATCAGCCTATTATTTATTTAGAATCCCCATACCATAATAAACAGATTGGTGGATGAGGTGGAATGCTTTCTGGTTTCTTCTAAAGTCTAAGGTGCACAATTGAGACTTTAATACGTACTTGTTCCAATAATGCTTTCCCAGCTACTATATAAACCATTAAGCTTCATTACAATGTTAAGACAATTACGTTGTTTGGGTTTGCAATGAAGCTGGATAAAGTCCATGAAATGTACAGATGTAGGAGGCTGTGCCGTGTTGCTAACAACTTCGCAAACGAGGTGCACAGATGTCTTGTGCATCTTAAATTATGATTATTGGCCATTTTATTTTGCTATGCACTTCAGCGGGCAATCCGAAAAATGCGGTTAATTACTTTATGAGATTGTTACATACTTGAATCACAAGAGTAGAAAAATACTTCATTACAAAAAATAAAATAAAAGAACCAGCTATATCAAATAATATAATGTTCAATGCCACCACCACCCACTTCTTAACTAATTTGTATCATTATGATGAAACAAATATACTAAAACTCGGCTCTCTCTATAAAAACAAAACAAAACAAAAAGTGCAGCTGTATGAATTTCCTGAAAAAATAGAGCCAGGCAGAGCGTAAATTAGTGCCTTTACATTGACAGCTTGAGGTCTCTTCACACTTCATATCGTTAGTTATGTGCGTTTTAGAAAAAGGAGAGTGTAAATGGCAAGAAGGTGTTCAAAAACACATGGTGAGTAGCAAACCTGGGCTTTTTGCTGAATAACATATACAGATGACTATGTGAAGGAAATACAGGAGTTCGTGGGATCTTGTCAGTAGTGGCACCATTGAATGTGCTTCTGAAAATGACCACATATTATTTATCAGGAGCGCCATTGCTTCTAATTAGTTTAAGTTATAAGAAAGTAAGTACTACATGTATCATTAATGCATACTGGTTTTAATTGCTTCATTTTAACCTGATCAAGAGAAGGCATTTGAACCTTCGTTCAAATCCTTTCTACCATGAAACCTGAAGTCATACCTGAACTGGAAAACAAACTTAAAGATTAAGGCTCATTGCTATTTTCCCATAAAAATAGATGCCGGACTCACCATGAGCACCTCCCTTGTTCTCTCTTATGGTGACCACCTGAGAGGTGCCGGAACTGAGTTCTGGTGAGTTTGGGGTGAAGCTGTTGGAGATATGTGAACATTCCTTCTGATGCTCACAACCTCAAAGGGCTCCTCAAGCACTTACAAAGAGTGTGCAGTGCGGCATATTCTTCACACACACACATAACATATGCAAGGGGGAAAAGGGGAACGGTCCCACTCGTTCTGACCTATAGGTCATTATGGTTTCTGCTCTCCCATCATACAACGAGCTGTTGGATGGATATCTGTGGTGGGGAGTCTGCTCTACTCAAGTAGGCTCTCTGTACAATCCTGGCTTAGAGAGCAATCCAAACCCACCATCTAATAGGATGGGTGAGCTAAGAGCCAGTGGATCATTAGCTGACATATTTAGCCTACAGCTAAGCCTAGAATCCAGTGCTTTTTTTATTAAAAAAAATGTTTAGAGGTTCTCTCATCTTCCTACTCATTTTGAAATACTGCCCCTCAATGAGGCCAAACTTAGATTCACAAAATGTTTAGGGGTATGCATATCCTTGCATCCCCCCTCCCCCGGAAAAAAGCACTGCTAAAATCACATGTTATCTGGAACAATAGCAAACTCTTGCCTTGTTTACTCCAACCTCCCCTTTGGTCCCTCTTCCTCTGCTCTTCTCACCTGCCAAAAATTTTAGAATTGTGTTCTGTAAAGTGCCATGCATACTGGGGACAGAAAATTCCTGTGAATACTCATGGGTGGGGTACAGGGTTTTTGTCCCACTTATGTATCTGACTCCTGAAGTGGCTGACGATGTTCACAAGTGTCTTTCCTTCCATTAGGTGAATCATGTTGTCTGTAAGCGGGACTCTGCAACCTTCCCAGAGTGCCCAGTTAAGGCCCTGAGGAAACATCATGAGATAACTTCTCCCATGGAGCTTTTTTTCAGATCCGGAGGCATAGCCTTACAGAGAGGCTGTGGCAGGATAATAATAATAATAATAATAATAATAATAATAATAATAATAATTTATTCATACCCCGTCCATCTGTCTGGGTTTCCAAAGTCACTCTGGGTGGCTTCCTACAAAAATACATTAAAGCATCAGTCATTAAAAACTTCCCTAAACAGGGCTGCCTTCAAATGTCTCCTAAACATCAGATAGTTGTTTATTTCTTTGACATCTGATGGGAAGGCATTCCACAGGGTGGGCGCCACTACCAAGAAGGCCCTCTGCCTGGTTCCCTGTAACTTCACTTCTCACAGTGAGGGAACCACCAGACGGCCCTTGGCACTGAACCTCAGTGTCTGGGTTGAACAATGGGGGTGGAGACGCTCCTTCAGGTATACTGGGCCAAGGCCATTTAGGCCCATTTAGGCCCACAATTTGAATTATGCTCCAAAATGTATTGGGAGCCAATGTAGGTTTTTCAAGACCAGTGTTATGTGGTCTCGGCAGCCGCTCCCAGCCACCAGTCTAGCTGCCACATTATGCATTTGTTGTAGTCACCTTCAAAGGATAAATATTTACACACATAGGCGCCAACTCCTAGGGGTTGAGGTCCCTTTGCCCCCAACCCATAAAATATTTGAGGGGGCTGAGCTTCCGCAAAGTTGATGAGCATTTCCATTCAAATAGTATGTGTGTGCTGTGTCTTGTTGTTGATTATGTGGGGCGGCAGCTTACCTGGGCCCCCCAATATTTTATTCAAGTTGGCATCCCTTTTTACACAAAAAAAGCCTATACACCCTGCCCTTGCATGCTACCACCCTTGGTCACCTCACAATAAGGTAAGTTCGAAATACCATTTTGCCCAAATTCTCAGTGAGACAGAAAAATGGAAGCTTCTTCAACAGGGGGTGGGTGGGAAGAACTTTCACAAAACTGGAGGGCAGATTTTGGCATGGCAAAAATTATGTGTTCTTCATGACCATCTAATCAAAGGGATAATGTGGCCTGTTAGCTGAGCACAGATTAATGCAGTATTCAAATAGTGCCTTCTTCCTGTGCTTCTAGGGCACTATAGCTCTTAATGTATCTTCCTAAGAACATCTGCAGCTTGAAATCCCACAGTCTAGCCCATGTTTCTCTGAAACAGATATCAATTAGTGTTTCTACTTCTTCTGTTATGGGAATATTGAACTGCTGCTTTTCTCCACTTGTTTGAGCATCTGGGAAATCACCATGACAACCAGTGCATGCCAGGTGTCTGTTTAGAAAGCACTCCCTTCCTTCAGCCTTCCTCAGTAAAATTCATTACCTTAATTGCCAAGCTAATACTGAAGCAAAACGAGGCTGAGCATAAAGATTAAAAAGACATACTTCTTGATTAAAATCTTCATAACCCAAAATCTGTATAATCTGTAAACTACACCAAATATATAAATCAGCTTAAGCCTGGAAGATGCCCATTAATATGCACGAATATATATATATTTTTAACACTCTCAAAATTACCACTCCTGTTAAATAAAGCGAAAACAGAAAATGAGGAATACTTCATTCTTTCAAAAAATGTTGAAACTACGACTTGAGGGTAGAATTAGATTTTTTTTTTTTTTTAAGGAAACAGTGTGCCAGAGCATTCAATATATAGATAACCCCAAGAGGCAGATAGATTCACAGGAAAGTGTTGGAAGATTGTACAAGATCGGTATGAACGATGTGAAGAAATTGCTGCAGCATGGGCAAAAGGTCAAACTTGACCTCAGCCATTATAATTGTCTCCTCAGCCAAGTATTGCAAACTGCTGCTACAAAATAAAACAGCTAAGTGAAGTGAGAAGGCTTTGATTGTGACTTCAACAGCCGAGTGTTTATTACTAGACCCCCAAATGTCTGGGTTGATGGCCTCTTTGTTTCTGGGCCCATTTCAAAATGCTCCCATTGATCTTCAAATCCCTAGGATAACCACACGGAGGTGTACTTGCAGGAACACCCTTCCCCCGGCCATAGATTCTGCCATGATCGCATTAGGATTTTTCTGGGTGCTTCCACCATCATAAATGGGGTTGATGGTTGTAAGATCTAGTGAAACAATGGGGTACCTCTGTTCCATCAGGTTTCCTCACTGGTTGTGATTACCAGTGCTTGCAAAGTCTTTGCTCACATTATTTGGATTTCAGACTGCATAGATAAAGGAATATGGACCACCTGTTGGCATTGTGGTATCAGGTTAGTGACAAATGAGAATCCCTGTCAAAGTTTGGCAGTGGGGGTGGGGGAAATAAAGATCCAGCCCATTAGACAGATCCAGCTCCCCGCCCCTTATATAATCTACTTTATATTTTGGAAAGAAGTTTTTCTGTCCATATGTATGCTTGGATGCCGCTCTATACATTGCCGCCAAACTTGGCACAAGGGTTTCTGAGGGGAGATTGGTACTCTTTGTTGACATTTGGATGCCAGGATGTCAGGGGCTGGGCAAAGGAGGAGGAGTGGGGGAGACCGCCTCCCCATCCTGACCCTTCCAGGGAGGAAGAAGAGGAAGACAGTATAGATTTACAACAGCGGGTTGAGGGAGGTCACAGCTCAGAGGCAGATGATGGGGAAATCTGAGAAATCATGGGAGAGCCAGAGCAGCTGGCTGACATGTTGTCACTAGAAAGCATCCCAGACCCACCACCTCCCAGAACCTGGCAAGTCTTGAAAGTAGGAGAGCAAAGAGCTTGAAGACAGAGGGTACTTAGTAGCATCCATAGAGGAGGTGATGAGGTTGATGAATGAGTAAGTGGGAGAGCCGGGTGATGGAGATTCACTTGGGTTAATGCCGTTATCCAAGAGGCTTGGTTCTATAACATCTCTCTGTAAAGTCTGAAATAAAAAAGGACTGTATGAAACTTGTCCTTGTCTTTATACTTTCCTGGACAACTAGCTGGGAACCGGGGCAGCACCCTGACAGCAGGGAGCAGGGAGCAATAGCCATTCAAATTACATACCTTCCAACTTTTCTTGAGAAAGGAAATGTGGTCGTATGAATCCATCCCAAAGTCACACATGAAGTTGATTATTTGATGGGTACAGGGTTGTGAATGTATATCTACTGGCCTCAGTTTGATGGGTTACAAACTGGCAAACTAATCTAAAACTTTTCCCCAATAGTAAAAGTTAATATATTCCCCAAATAAAACTATTCACCACCTATTATGGAGATCCATCTTGACAGGGCTGAGATGCAGTCTGACTGTTAACTGCTTTTGGCTTTACCAAGATTTAAAGCATATCCTCCTTGTGACATCACACATGACATCAGAATGGCATATTTGCATTCAACCTAGACTATCTCCATGCCAACAGCAATGGCCAGTAACTTTTGATGGTCAGAAACCTTTCCTTGTCTTTATACTTTCCTGGACAACCAGCCAGGAGCCGCTGAATCAAGATGGCAGATTGAATATTAAAATGTGACTTTGGTGTGACTTCAACCACTTTGGGGCATAGGTCTAGCCATTTCTTGAGATGTTTTCTTTTTTAAAAAAAATGATATTTATTGAGAATTTTAAGATTACAAAGAAAAAAGAAGGAAAAAACGAGAGAAAAAGAAAAAGAAAGAAAAAAAGTAGATAAAAGTAACAATTAAAAAATACAAATCAGTAAAAACCAAGGTCAAAAAGAAAAAACAAAGCACACAATACATCAAAAGCAAAAAGCAAAAATAGACAAAAAATTTAAAAACAGATCCAATATTCCCAGATCCTTAACTGTCATTACCTTATTTCATCGACCTCCTCACACCTCCCTTTTTTGTATTCTAGTTGTTAATTATCTCAGCAAATCCTTTCCATATTTCACAATATTCTGTCATTAAATTACCTTAATCTATTTTAACCTTATCTTGCCATAAAGAACCCTAAAACTTAAAACTTAAATCTTATTTATACCAAATTCTCTTAACCATAACATATTCTTACATAATTCTTTTTAACATTTCTGCTAAAGCCACCTAATTTCATTCCAACATTTTTCTAATACTCATTAATTTTACGAAACTTTTCTAAATGAATTTTTAAAACTTTCTTCCAATCTTCATCCATCGTCTCTTCTTCCTGGTCTTGTCAGTCCTTTCTATCCCATCCATCTAGTCCATCAACCTGGTGACCTTATGTCTGAGGCTCTTAAGTCTCTTCCATGTCCCTTCCGCAGGTCTTCTTCATATTTATACCTGTACTTTACTTTGTCTTCTACTCCTTTCACTCGGGGAGACTCCAGCTTGACAATATTTTTGTCCCTTCTCGACAAGTCAGCCCCTTTTCCATAGTCAACACTGAAATCCATGTGGTATTTAAAGGCATGTTTCAAGGTCCCTCCAAAGTTAAAGGCCCCCACAACTCCGAGCTCCCCCCGGCCCAAAGCCAGACTTGGGTCAAAACATCCCTGCATAGGGGGGTCTATCCAGCCCCCCATCTCCAAGCCAAACTGGACTCCATCTCTCCAAATCTGAATTTTTCCATGTTCGTTCGTCGAATCCAACAACTCATATTCCTGCTGGGCCACAGCTCCCTCCATCTCTGCCACCCGAGGTTCAGCAACAACCTCCTCCCTCATCTGATCTGTCAAAGCACATTCCTGGATTAATTCCTGAGTGGGTTCTATATAGGTACCCACTGCCTGTCCAAAATTTCCGATCGCAACAGTCATCAAATCCATCTTCTCATGTAACTGTTCCAATAAAGCACTTGTCTTGCAAAAAGCAAGCACCAGAGCCTCCGAGTACATTCTTGTTCAAGGTCGAAGTCTGGTCCCACAATCTTAATCTATTGCAGCTGCAAAGCTCCCCAGTTCGGTTTTAATAACAGTTTCACAAGCTCCCTCTAGGGGAAACAATTTCTATTTGTATCCATCTTTAAAAAAAAAAGCAGATCTAGCAACAAGGTTTTCCTTTTTCAGATATTTTGTCAATATTTTGTTCCTTTTAAGTGCGAAGGGGAACAATGGAATCAATATGTTTCTCTTCTTTTAACTATCTGTCAAAAACGTTTGTCCATAGTCAATGAACTTCCCCAGAACGTCTGTCCTGACACCCCGCTCCCAGGTTCAAGACGGTGGAAAATTGCCTTTCTTTACTCTCTCTTCTGCAGGTTTAAACAGTCTAAAAAAGGTTCCCCCCTCTTCTCCTGCTTCCAAGGGGGGTTCAGTATTTTTAAATGTTGAGAATTTGATCCTTTACAGACGACTTTCTAAACTCTAGCTTGCCGTGTCTTTGCTTCAATCTATCTACAAAAGCGGAAGGCGGACTTCCTGTTTAGACCTTCCCGCTTCAGTGCCAAATTAAAAAAAAATTCTTAATCCAATTTTCCGTTCTACTCACGGGCAGTTGTTTAAAGTCCAATTGTCCACAGGAAAAAGTCAGCGCTCTCCGGCAACAGCAATGCGGCTTCACTCCGTGAAAGAAGCAGTCGATTCAAAGCACCGCGCCACTCACCCCACGTCGCTCCGGATCCCCGAAACCGGGGTTCCCTGCAAGTAGGGGAGGTGCAAAGGTGCCAGCCGAATCCCACGTCCACAGGCTTCTCCCGCCTGTGGTTTTTAATGGGTCTCCGCCTCGCCGTGGCGGTTCAGACCCTGTTTTCCACGGAGCGGATTCCTCCCGATCGGAGGAAATCTGCCATTGCCAGAGGCGCCAACCCGGAAGTCCCCATTTCTTGAGATGTTTTCACCAGAGCTGGAATGAGGGTTCCCAGAGTGGAGACGGTGGTCTTCACTGCTGTTTAGATGCCAGGTACCATTCTGAATCAAGATGGTGAAGCAAAACATAACTTTAGCATGACTTTTCCTGTTTATTCTCATAGGTTTGGCCTCCTCTGATTATTCTCATAGGTTTGGCCTCCTCTGGAGATATTGCTGCTAAACTCAGCATGAGGGTTTCTTAGGCGGAGGCAGCAGTCTTTGTCAATGTTTGGATTCCAGGCATGTTTTGTGGACAAACACATGACTTTTTACATGACAGGTCCAAACACAGAAATTACACTTTCTATTAAAAAATCACATTTTTCAGTTTCTAACCCTGCTGGTGCTTTCTCAGTAGTGGTACACAGTTCTTTTTTTCTGGGGGTACGTGGGGTACACATACCCCTAAACATTTTGTGAATCTAAGTTTGGCCTCATTGAGGAGCAGTATTTCAATATGAGTAGGAAAATGAGAGAACCCCTAAACATTTTTCTTAGAAGAAAAAGCACTGGCGGTACACCAGCTGTGGAAATGGACTGGCCAAGATTTTCCTCACCACATTTCTGCTGGCATCTAGGATGCATGTGGATATATATAGTTTTATTCAAAGTTTGCTTGCTTCTTTGAGTTATTTATAGTCTGTACCCCATAGTCGCCTTTGACTGGACTTAACCGTCCAGGGAACCTTGACCTTTACCTTTTACGTTCTTCACTCAAGAGTCCCAGGATGAGAAACAAAAACATTTTAATCACAAGTCAGAATGAAAATAAATAAATTCAGCTAATGCACTTAAGCTGGAGAAACGATGGCTTAGCAGTGCACCTCCCCTCACAATTCCTTGCAACAATGTTATGTCCAGAGCACAGTTAGGAAAAGAAAATGGGAGCTGGATCACTGAAAGAGGAGGTCTGATCCTGCTACCTGGAGCAGCAACAAAATAAAGTGTATATATATATAAAAGATGGAAGAAGCTGCTACTGTGAAGGGTAGCACCAAAACACAATGGAGGTGAATTTTATCACACACACATACACAAATAAGAAAAATAAACCCCTGTTGGGGGAACAGGCATCAACCTTCCCACAGGTGAAAATTTATGTTCAACTGGCATAAAGTACACCAAATCCAAACACCATTCAGGAGCATCGCTACTGTCAGGTGAGCTGGCTCACATTTGGCAAAGAGAAGACAAGCTTCTTCTTTTTTTACACTACTTTGCTGGAGTAAGTTCTTGTGGGTGCCTGGTCATGTGGCTAAGCTGAATGAAGTTAGAATTCAACATAAGTGTAAACTGAGCTGCAATGAGGGATTTGTGCCGGCGTATGTCTACCTGATCCAAGTTTGAGGTCTGCCAGTTATTGATTTGATCGTTCCAGGATAATTTAGAGTTTGGATTGTCCCCTAAGGTCACAGTCCTAGAGCTATTTATCTGGCAGAAAGTCCAATGGGACTTCATTTCTGTAAAGGTAAAGGTAGAGGGACCCCTGACTGTTAGGTCCAATCGCGGACAACTCTGGGGTTGCGGCGCTCATCTCGCTTTACTGGCCGAGGGAGCTGGCATACAGCTTCCGGGTCATGTGGCCAGCATGACTAAGCCGTTTCTGGCAAACCAGAGCAGTGCACTGAAACGCCATTTACCTTCTTGCCGGAGCAGTACCTATTTATCTACTTTACTCCTTCCCTATGGTGCTACAATGACGCCAACTTTAAACAGACTTCAGTTTAGCTAAATTGTTGTTAATCTAAAGTGTTTTCTTTTTCATCTGCACACAAAAAGCATCTGTGCATTTTGTTGCTGGGAGATTGTAATTGCAGAATATATGGTTTTATTTGGGATAGATGACACTCCCTCTTCCCTCTGCTAAGAACCACATTGTATTGAATATGCATAAATTTGAAAGCTGCTTCAGCATTTTCTGCTTTTTGATGTTTCAAGGCAAGATTTTCTTTTTGAGCACATTCCTAATCAGGAGAAAAAGAGACAAAGAACGAACTGCAAAAATTGGAGCCTTTTGTGAAAGATTTGAGCTGTTTAGATGCAAGATTTTGGAAGGTGCTTATCTCCTCTGGCAGAGTCCTCAGTACTTGAGATAGGCCTAGAAATAGCCTCCTATTCACAGCAGATGGTGGTGAGGCAAAGAGGGAAGGGTGCAATAATCTCATTTTCTGAATCTGTGGCCTTTCATATCTCAGGGAAGATTAAGTGATGTTGACCAGCCATACCCTGAATGGTTCTCCAGGAAATTCTCTAGATCAGTGAGGTGTAAGAATTGTGAAAGCAGAAGAATGGATAAAAATACACATTTAAAAATGGGATGAAATTAAGTTATATTCAGAGGGCCAGATTCAACTAAATACTTATACCAGCAGGAGCAAATGCAATGAGGTCTACTAGCACAAGTACGGCTTTCCTCCTTCTTCACCGCTAATGTGCCCCCCAAATTGGCTCTGGGGCTGAGGAGAACCTGCACAGAACAGGGGGAGGAGAGATGAAATAGTTGTATCTGGCAAACAGAAATGTCTGCGTGGCAGGTCAGT